AAAGGAAGAGCGATCGCTTGGTCCCAAGAAGGAGCGTACATGGATTCCAACTCCTCCAAGTTGGATTGGAGGTGGAACACCCGAAGATCAAAAGATTGGTCAAGGGTTGCAGAGAGATTGACAATAGCTCTCAAAGCGATGCGACCACTGTATGTGGCAGCAACGACTAACTGCAGCGGCGGTTGATTGCGTCGGCGCCGACTGTGGCATCAGCTACATCAAAGCAGTAGAGAGGACAACAAAGGGTAGGATGAAAGACCAAACCAGAACACAGAAACGAGAGGAGGTCCGGCGATGCGGAAGTGTGCTTCGAGAGGACAAAGATGCTGTGAAGACAACGAAGATGGCAGCCATGGTAGCTATGGAGGGTCATATTAGAGATATGGCGATCCGGCGACACGACCGGTAGCGACGCGTTGCGATTCCGACACCGAGAAGGCGGCGCGTGAGAAACACGCACCCGAGACCAGCTTAAGAAAGGCGGTGCGTTGGGTGGAGTCTGGTCCTGACTCCTGCGGGATTGGCCGTCGCTCAAGGAGGCGGTCCAGATCCGCTAGTCATCGGACGAAAGTGCGACAGTGGCTGGCGGCAGACAGTGGTCGACGGTGAAGAGCAGTGGTGCGCAGCGGAGAGATCCAGTTGTTGGTTGGCGAGACCAGGAAATCAGCGTCGCTAGAGAAGGAGGACCTGTACTACACGACAAGGGGTTAGGCTGAGGAGAGCGGAAAAGTCGCCAGCGACGGTAACAACGGCGAGGAACGAGCCCTAGTGTGGCTGAAGCTTTACATCACTCTTTCAAGCAAGGAGAAAGAGGAAGATTTTCTGGCCATGAAGGGGTGCAAGCTTCCTCAGCGACCCAAAAAAAAGGGCGAAACTCATCCAAAGGAGCTTACTTTTGGTGAGCCCTGGCACGTGGTTGACTGATATGTGCGAAGAGAGATATGAAGTCAGGGAGAAGAAAAGAAACAAGAACTCTCTATTTGGTAATACTGGAAAAAAAAAGGCCAGAATTCTAAGGTAGAACTTGACTAGGGCAATTGAAGCCCGTTAAAAACACATGTTAAAGAAGAGACTTTAAAGGGGCCGCCAGCGGCCATGGCAACCAGCCACCGACAGACAACAAAGACAGCGGAAGCATATCAGACAAGCTCTGATACCAAGTTGAAAATAAGAGTGATTTATTATTCTCAATCATAAAAAATACATTCTGATACTCTCTATTTGTAATAATCTAATTCTCCTAGAAAGGGAAATAGGGAAACTAGGAAAGTAAAATAAAATAAAAGATTATATATCTATTTCCTTTAATTAGGAAGATTCTAAAGATATTATCTCAAATTACAAGGGGAAACCCTCCTCGGAGGAGAGAGTGCTCTCCTATTTTGTGTTCTTCTCAGTTTATACAATAAAGAATATTACTCTTCTTTCTCTTTTCAGTTCTGGATTCTTAACAACTTCAGATGGCATATATTGTTAAAAAGGGCTCCCTCCGATTAGATTTCAAGATCTTGTAGGTAAGTTGAGAATGATTGATATTCATTTACCAACTTGAGGAGGAATATTGTAATTAGAGGAAATATCTATAGAGAATCTTCTTAATTAGAAAAAATATCTATAGAATATTCGTAATTAGAAAAAATATTTGTAGGATCTTCTAGATTATTTTTCAGTATATTGTTTCCGTTTTTAAGAAAAATAGATTGCTACAAATAGAGGTAAGGAGAATGTAATTGATATGAATGAAAATAATAAAGTCATTCTCTTTTTCAAGTATTATCATATTCAAGGAAATAATATTGTTCGAAATTTCTATTTCTTTCTTATCTCACTTAAATCCCTAGATTTCTTTCAACTTAAGTGCTTATAGTCTTTAAATTCAAGACTTTATTATTCTATTAAGAAAAAGTGGGAAAAGGCCAGAATCCCACATTAGTATCTTTGATTAAATTAAGTCACAAACCAGGAGTACAAATATTGCACGTATTGGTGGTCACAACCGCTTCTGACAGTGATCCAGGGAGCCAGACAGCATTCCTACACTGTTCATTTATTTGTAGACATCAAATTTATATTAGCATCTGTCAGTTGTGATCTGAAGAAATAGACACAGGCAACAAGGGAGGAAAACCACAACTTTCACAAATCAGTTAATATGAATTTGGAGAGGATAAAAATCAGATATCTATCAGATTTTTAACGATGCCTACTACAACAATACATTTAAAAATAGCACACTGTGCAGGAAACTATTTTCAAAATATTATCATCAATATGAAGAGGCATTCACAGGACTATGCATCTTAAGTATAAACTATTGAAATTTAATTTGTTTACATGTCCCAACTTATTGGTGCATATATAGTCCCTGTTATCTATCTTACAGAGTTAATGAGTGTTTTACTCCTGTTACTTTACATTTTTGTACAGCAACAGATTACTCTTTTTCATGCAACCAAGTTATAAATAGCAGTTACTGTTGAGACGTACATACATGTAACTGTTGGAAAGTGTCACATCCCCCGCCCCAAGTCTTGGAGTGGGCTTATATGTCTGTTAGATAATTTCACTTAATTTTTAAGCTAAAATCTAACATACAAAAGCCTATAGTTCATCTTGGTAATCGTCTAGTTCAGCAGGCAACTGTGGAGGGGGAATGTTGGGAAGTCTCGTCACCTACCACTTGGTTTTAAACTGAAATCTAAAAGTAACTCAGCTGTATGGGGTTTGACTCATTTTACACAATGACAAGTTCATGGGGGAATTATCCACATTGTCTGAAGCAGGAGTACTCATTACCCACCAAGTTGAAACGGCCTTGCATACCAGTTCGTTACAAAATGATGAGCAATTAAAATTTAATTTTACTTTTATTTACGTGTTTCTTTCTTATGACCCGGAGGGCACAGTAAAATATGTTGTAACTTTTAAAAGAGCAATTAACAGATACCTGGAAAAAGAAAAAGAAAAAACCAACCTGAGGGTAACCCAAGCATCCAACCATAAAATTGCCATCCTGGTAAATGATAATATTAAAACTAATCAGATAAAAGGTTATGCCTCTATTCCATTTGTGAAAATAAAGAAAAACGAAGTATAGGATTAATTCCCCTGGTGTATAAAATACACGTTGGGTAACATATTTATAATAAAGAATAATACTGAAAAATATGGACTACGCTCAAATATACATAGTATTGTAACTAACAATATCTAACACCTTTCAAAACTATAAATACCATAAAACAAAAGGCCACTGTGAATATTATGATTACGGAAGCCCTCATACACATTAGCAACGAAATTCAGCAAGTATACACATAAGAAAATATGCAGCTGCATTCAAGAAGATATGATAAAACATTTATTACTTAAAACCTAAATTAAAGTAAATCAGCCAGATAAATCCTACTGTCTTTTATATAGTGTTTTACGTTCCAGGCATAAAATTATTTACTACTACCAACAACCTAAATTCCACGTAGACTCGTAGTCTCATGTCATTGATTAACCACTATATAATGGAATGGAATTGAACATGAAATGCACATGATTGAGCCATTTATTTAATTCCCAAAAATGTCACCACCTAATAAATCACATGAAAAGAATAAAAAAATTACACTAAAGCTCCAAACTCTGTTTATTAAATGTAACCATTCCCTTGGAAGGGAATCACAACTACCGAAAACACATACTCGATTTTTCCTTAGCACCATGTCTGATTCTTGACAAAGTCCGCATCGTCGAACAACCCCCATTGCATGTAGCTCATCATTGGCAGATCTACTAGATCTGCAATAGCAATTGAAGATACCTATTAGCATTTTGCATAAGGAGTCCATATGACTGAAGGATGAAAGATACCTTTCAAAAAATATTGCCATGGCTTCTAAAAGTTTTCCTTTATTCAATCTTGCCTGCATATATTTACAGATTATCAGACATTGAAGTTCAAAATCTACATAACTGAATAAACTTGGTTATGAAAGATTTCAAATAATTGAAAAGGCAGATTGAATCGAAAAACTGTTACCAAAAAAATTGCAATTGAAGGCAATAGATGCCAACAAATCGAAAATTCTAATTTTGCTCATGATTCCCCCACAAAAAGTCCATGAAGTGTGTTGAAAAGACATAAACTAAATTCGAGGCAACAAGCATCAGGAAAGTTAGACTGCTGTACCAATAAATTTTATATGATCATAGAGCACATCTGACCCGACAAAATGACATCTAAGGGAGTTTTTATAGTTCAGAAATGATTAAATGCACAATTAGTAATGCATTTCTGTTATACTTAACTCAATAGATACATCACTTGTAACAATTATCCCATCTATAGAAATTTCTTGCTTACATAACTATTATCCTCAACCCTCCACTATATTCCCTACAGTTTTAGCTTCAAATCCAAAGCTAAGTTGCTCTAACGGAGTTTTTATAGTTCAGAAATGATTAAATGCACAATTAGTAATGCATTTCTGTTATACTTAACTCAATAGATACATCACTTGTAACAATTATCCCATCTATAGAAATTTCTTGCTTACATAAATATTATCCTCAACCCTCCACTATATTCCCTACAGTTTTAGCTTCAAATCCAAAGCTAAGTTGCTCTCATTGTCAAAGGATAGGGAAGACGCCAATCAACTGGCATTCAGGATTGATTCCATGGAGTCATTAGACACAAAAAGGGCCAAAGTACAATTTTAATCTTCCTTTAATTCCTGATTCCCAAGTTTAATCTCCCTATTTTATTCCAATGTTTTTAGTACCCTATTTCAGAATTCCACAATTTTGATCAAATATTCAAGTTTGTAAATGTTTCTTTATTTTACACTTTGCATTTTAATAATTAAATCTATTCTTAGTAGTACTCTAAATGAATATATTTGATTTGATTCAGTTGAATAAAAATAATCAGAAAAAAAAAACACATACAACATTAAGAATTAGACCAAAATTTTTGTTTTATAAGATGTAAGGACTTAAACCACAAACGAAAAATAGTACAGCCTATTAGAAAGTAGGTTTAAGCTTAACTTATCCTCAATAAAATTGGCTTATAAAATGAAGATTGACCCCACTTATATATTATACTTTTGACTTTATTTCTAGTTGATATGAGATTTTCAACATAACCGAACCCACAAACATGGACTCGTCACTGAGCTCCCTGCACAAGGCATGGACACAAGTCCATATAGAATTTTGTAAATGAAGTCCTCCACAGGTTTAAGCTATTAGAAAAGTACAACCTATTTGAAAGTAGGTTTAAGCTTAACTTATCCTCACAAAAATTGGCTTATAAGAAAGGATTCTCTCCACTTATATACTATAATTTACCTTTATCTCCTGTCGATATGAAATTTCCAATATAACCCAACCCACAAACATGGACTCGTCACTGAGCTCCCTGCACACGGCATTGGACACAAGTCCATATAGAAGTTTGTAAATGAAGTCCTTCACAGGTCCCTCACTAGGGTTCCATAAAGGTACATACAGGTACCTGTAGTAAATTCTCAAATACTTCAAGGACCTAGAAAATATTTGAACAAGAAAACTGGTCCCTAAACTATTTGAAACTTTGCAAATAAGTCCATGTAGTTTGCAGAATCCTAGCAGGGAACTTATTAAAAGTCTCAAAATGTTAAGAGAAACATATCAATTTAACCATTATAAAACAAACTGTTAGATGTTAAGTTGTGTGTTTCCGTTAATTGGGCTTAGCCCATTCTGTATTTAGGGTTTAACCCTTATCTTACATTATAAATAAACTACCCTATGTGTATGCTAAACACATAAGGGAGATTTCTCCTAATCTTCTTCACTATATTCAATATGGTATCTAGAGCACAGGAATAGTTCCCGCCAACTCCACGATCTCCGGTACCCATCACCGCCGCTGTCGCTGCAGTCGCCGCCGTTGCCGTCGCCGTCGTCGTCGCCACCGGAGTTCCAGAGTCGACCGACGACCACACCATCGGAATCGTCTCGGCCGGGCGACCACCGTGGAACAAAGATCGCGGCGNTATTATCCTCAACCCTCCACTATATTCCCTACAGTTTTAGCTTCAAATCCAAAGCTAAGTTGCTCTCATTGTCAAAGGATAGGGAAGACGCCAATCAACTGGCATTCAGGATTGATTCCATGGAGTCATTAGACACAAAAAGGGCCAAAGTACAATTTTAATCTTCCTTTAATTCCTGATTCCCAAGTTTAATCTCCCTATTTTATTCCAATGTTTTTAGTACCCTATTTCAGAATTCCACAATTTTGATCAAATATTCAAGTTTGTAAATGTTTCTTTATTTTACACTTTGCATTTTAATAATTAAATCTATTCTTAGTAGTACTCTAAATGAATATATTTGATTTGATTCAGTTGAATAAAAATAATCAGAAAAAAAAAACACATACAACATTAAGAATTAGACCAAAATTTTTGTTTTATAAGATGTAAGGACTTAAACCACAAACGAAAAATAGTACAGCCTATTAGAAAGTAGGTTTAAGCTTAACTTATCCTCAATAAAATTGGCTTATAAAATGAAGATTGACCCCACTTATATATTATACTTTTGACTTTATTTCTAGTTGATATGAGATTTTCAACATAACCGAACCCACAAACATGGACTCGTCACTGAGCTCCCTGCACA